TGTTTTAAGTCCATCGAGCGATAGTTCATCGGATTCAAGAACTTCAAGTTCTTCAGGTGAGAGTTTAGATGAATTTCATAGGAATATTTTACAAGGGGGCGAAGTCCTGGGCTACCAGTTTGAACCTAGACGAAATACCAACAGCGTCAGTGCTGAATTAGCTGACAATGAAGACGACCAAAGTATGTCGATTGACGAGGAAGAATCGTTCGTTCGTTTGGGTAATCTTGACTGGTAAAACATCATAATTTGTGGTTTATATTGACGAATTGAATTTTCGTGTTCTTTTCGACGGCTAGAACAAACTCCTTCATATAAATATGGTAGTAAAGATAATTCGATATATATTATCAATCGTATGAATTTATAACATTCTTAGAAGTTTAAGACATGGGTTTTATGTTTGGGAAGAGTTATGCTGGACCCGGATTGAAGTTATAATATCTATGGTTACGGCTCGGAAATTCAGCCGTTGTGTTAGGGGCGACGTCCATATTCAAGTTGCCACGCAAAACGTCAAATTGACGTTTTGCATGGGTGGGTGGGTTAAAACTGTAGTGCTGTGACGTTTTTACCGTGGCAATATGAATATTTTCCAAAACTACAACGCTATAATTATATAATTTAATTATGTAGAATATATATTAAAAATAACCGTCAATATTTATTAAAATAGTATCAATATGCGATGGAAAAGTTAATATATTTACACTATTTTATCAATATTGCATATTAAAAAAGAACTTACGTGGTAGAATTTTTGTCTTTCTTGTTTCCTACATATTTATACACGTTTATAATATTAACCCAGAGGATATATTAAAAGGTATATACAGTGCTGTAAGTAACTTCGTTAAAAGTAACTAGTTACAAGTAATCGTTACATTTTTCAGTAACGGTAACGGTAACTTGTTACATTTTGAGAACATGCAGTGGCGGCGCCAGGCTTCCAAATTTGGGGGGGCATTTAAGGGGCAAACTCAAATTTTGGGGGGGCAAGATAGAATTTTTAAAAAGGTCGCCCCCCCCAGGAAATTCGCCCCCCCCCCCTCAAAACGTGGCGATATTCCTAGGAATATCGCCTCCCAGGGGGGTGGGGCGAATACCCTAGGAATATCGTCCCTCTTTAGGACATTCGCCCCCCATATATGCGATGTGGTGTATTCAAATAATTTCGTGATACTTTCATCTTATTATTGCCTTACACGTTTGAGAATTTAACTCTGCAAAACTAAAGCTTTTTTGTCTTTTTTTGAAACGTGTTATTGGAGTATTGGCAAGTTTTACCATTCAGAGATTTACAAACTAATATTGAAACTGTAAAAAACAGCTTCATATGTATATGCGCATTCACTAATGAGTAATGACAACTTATAAGCCATACATTTTCCGATAACGACAGAACGCTTGTGTAGCTTTTAGTCGCTTTTAGTGACTAATAATTTTTTTTGAGGGGGGGCAAAATGGGGGGGCAAAAAATAATTTTGGGGGGGCATTTGCCCCCCCTTGCCCCCCCTGGCGCCGCCACTGATTAACTCTAACTTTAATTAACTTTAATTAACTTTAATTACTTTTTTAATCGGCGCAAGGATGGCGAGTTCTTGCAGCTGCGGCAACTGCTCCCCTCCAGCTTTTCGGAATCATAAATGAAACGTATAAACAATCCTTTAAATATTTCACAATACCTGACGTCATAGGTGTATCCCCCAACCTGAAACAGTACTTCCCCACATCACCCTCTCCTGACATGCAGTTGACCATTTGCTCGTTCTTTCGTAAATACCCACTGCCATGATCATCACTTAGCTGCCATTTCACTTCTGCTTCAAGAGAACAACCTGGAGCCACAACACCATTGATCTTTGCTTCAAACTGAAGAGTCCCTAGGCCAAGCTTATTTATCACAAATGGAATCTCATGAGTGCCATCTTGCTTCTCCAATATTTTGGCATTTTGTTGCTGCACACCGTTGAAGGTCACTTCAATTCGATCTTTCCCACAACCCGAGCTTATAATCCGACCTTCCTTGTCCTTGCATGTTATAACAATCGCCGATCTCTTCCCGACTTTAAGCGTTGAATCTAGAAACTTCGCTTCGCACTTTGCAGGACAGACAGCTACCTCTTCGACAGAACATATGTCTCTGATTGACTGTTTACAAAACTGAATTGGGGATTCTTTTTTTAAAAATCGAACCGGGTTTCCTGCTTTGGGAGTGATTTCATCTTGCACGCTTTTTAAGTTAACCAGATACTGTGTGATGGTTGGTTTTATGTTCAAAAGTTGAACGTCGTTTCCATTTTCAAGAGTACGCTTTGCAAAATTCATACCATTTTGGCACGTAGAGAGCGCGAGGTCCAGCACCTTCTTCGGTTCTTCGACTTCACTTTTTTGGCGTTCTGTTGTCGATGCGGTTATTGCCAGCATGTTTTGCTTTTCGGCATCGATTTCCTCATGCAACTGTGTGAAAAACGTTTCAATCTGGGTCTTACACGACTCTTCTCTGGAAGTTATATCTTGGCTTTTCGCTACAGCTACATCGATTCCCACAGAGATTGTTTCAACCCTTTTGTTAACTTTTTTCAAAAGGTTCTCAACTTCTTCTTTGGCATCCGAGGCGCTTTCTTCCAGCGAAACGACGTTGTGTGGTTTATGCTCAAGCACAGAGCAAGACATGCAGATTGTTTTCTGACACGTGTCGCAGTAAAATTTAATGAGTTCATGATGTTTACTACACTTCAGAGGCCTTGCGTTCTCCGCCGGTTCGTTGTTTTTCAACTCGTCTATCGATTG